ATTCAGGGCTCCGTGTGTGGGTGTGTGTGCGTTGATGGGTTTTATAGTGTGTGTATGTGTGTGTGTGTGTGTGTGTGTGTGCGGTATGTTTGGTCATATGCATGTATTAATTTAGTCTGTGGATGCGTTCAACACACATACACATACATTTATACAGACATATATATATACACACATATATATACACATATACTGTATACACACACACACACGCACACACACATACACACCTGCTCGCTGGAAATATGTCGACGACTCCACCATTGGGATCAGCGTCAACAATTCTGCTTCCCACTATACCGCCCTTCAGGATTTATTGAACAGTCTCCAAAACTGGGCCACCAACAACTACGTCACCATCAACCATACCAGGTTGTAGATTCCACTAAGCTCCTCGGCGTCACCATAGACAACAAACTAAATTGGAAACCACACGTCAGTGAAGTTGTCAAGTCCTCCAGTTTCCGTCTCCACCTCCTCCGCCGACTCACGTCCCTCGGAGTTCCTGCGCCCGAGCTCCTCAGTGTTTACTCAACGTTCATACTTCTCAAGCTCACCTATGCCTCCCCCACCTGTTCTTCCTCCCTAAATGCCACACAACGTAAACACCTAGAAAAAGTGTAAAAGAGGGCATACAAGACTATTCTCTCCCCTTCCTACTCCACATATCAAGAAGCGCTCAACACACTGACCCTCTCGGCTCTCACTGACCATCACCACGACCTCATCTGCAAATTTGGTGAGAAGCTTCTGCACCATCCTCGACACCGGCTCCTACTACCACTTGAGATCCCTCGCCCGAGAATTGCTGTTCGACATCACAACCGCATCCAGCCCATACGAGCACGAACTGATCGCTATAAGAACAGCCCAGTCCAAACCATTGTAAAAATTATCAATAACTTGTAATCAACCAGTGCATTCACTCCCAGTCAATACTACTTCTTGCACTGTCACTATGTTGAAATGCCCTGTAGTATGACCTTCTCCCCACCAAGTTATTATATATCATATTTGTATCACTTTTGTTACTTGTATATTATTTGTAAATCAAGAGACCCATTCCCCAATTATGCAACTGTATATTTTCAACCTTCCGGCTGCCATACTCTTTCAATAAACCGTTAATTATTATTATTTATTATTATTATTACACACACACACACACACACACACACACACACACACACACACACACACACACACACACACACACACACACACACACACACACTGCGGCTGTTGTATCTCTCCTCCCTCACAACTTTAACCCCCCTCTCAATAACTTGGCCGGATGTTTCCTCGTTGTCTCAGATATCTCAAAATCCCTTGACAAAGTTTGCCATCTGGCTTTTCTTCCCAGAGTTCATAGCTGTCCTAGTTCTCTCATTTGTCTCCTGGACTTTACCCTCTTGCACACAACTTGAAACCCAACCTAACCTAACCAAACCAAATGAAACCTAACCTCCTTTCACACAACTTACTGTAAGACCTAAGGTAACCTAACCTAACTATCAACGAGTAATTACAACACCAACAACAACAACAACTAGCAAATAATAATAATAATAATAATAATAATAATAATAATAATAATAATAATAATAATAATAATAATAATAATAATAATAATAATAAGAAGAAGAAGAAGAAGAAGAAGAAGAAGAAGAAGAAGAAGAAGAAGAAGAAGAAGAAGAAGAAGAAGAAGAAGAAGAAGAAGAAGAAGAAGAAGAAGAAGAAGAAGAAGAAGAAGAAGAAGAAGAAGAAGAAGAAGAAGAAGAAGAAGAAGAAGAAGAAGAAGAAGAAGAAGAAGAAGAAGAAGAAGAAGAAGAAGAAGAAGAAGAAGAAGAAGAAGAAGAAGTAATACCGCAATAAATGGTATAAATAACAATCACTGGTACTCTAATATCTCTTCTGTACTTACCTGAACAACACCTGGAGTCAGCACAGGTGAGAACCAATAAATGGATCTTAGTACTGAGTCAACACATACCTGAAACAGATACAAGGCGTCATTACAACACCTGAGCCTCCTAGATTAACACAGGTAAAGTTAATTGCCTAATAATCAGTAATCGTAAAAGATATGTACGATTAATTACGTCGAAGGAAATGTCCTGTTTAATTTGTATTCAGGTAAAAAAAAAACACACACACACACACACTTTCCCTCTTACACACACACACACACACTTTCCCTCTTACACACACACACACAATTCTTTCTATTCTGTGCATAAGCTATCAAGTAGTATATAAATCTTAAGGTTAGGTTAGGTTAGGTTAGGTTAGGTTAGGTTAGGTTAGGTTAGGTTAGGTCTCCGTCAAGGCCCCAAATGACCCACAAGCACCAGAACAATAATTATAAGTTAAAATATACAACTATTCTTTCTCTCTCCCACGCAACACGTCACTACAAGTAATTACGTAGGTGAGATATGTGATTTATTTTTCTCTTCATTCAGACATGACGAAATTATTCCCCCAAAACTACTGCCAA